TGGTTTCCAGGCAGGAGTTGATCACAGTGTGGATTTGCCAAGCGTGCCTTCCTCTTAGCACGTTTCTCCCTTGCATCCTGCGTTCGAGTGTCTTCAGAACCCATGACACCTTTGGTAAAGGCTGTTCTCCAATTAGAGAGCTTGCAGGCAAGTGTTTCCCAATTGTTGGTGTTTGTGCTACATTTTTTTAGATTTGCCTTGAGAGAGTCTTTACGCCTCCTTTTGTTGGCCACCAGCATTACACTTTCCATTTTAAAGTTCAGAATAGAGTAGTTGCTTTGGAAGACGATAATCAGGCATGCGCACAACATGACCAGTCCAACAAAGTTGATGTTGAAGAATCATTGCATGAGGAACTCCACCCAAAAGGTAAGTCCAGAAATTTATACAGTCGCAATTGTGGATGGTCGTATCTGTCACAGGTTTGTCAATTTACAAGGTAAGGGGGAGGTACATGGGAGCAGGGTACAGAAGGGACATTCGGGTGCAAGAAACAAGGTGGCGTGCAAATCCTATCTACATAAGGTAATACCTAGAAATCCAGGGGGAGATGGCAAATGATATGCCAATCCGGTTTTCTAGAATAACAATAGGGTTGAGAGTTTATCTAACAGCTGAATTTCTCTCCCCGCAGGGTCAAAGGAAATGGATCTGGTCGTCTGGAACTTTACAGAAGAAGGAAGGGGAGCTGAGTGGAAGTGATTAGGTTGAGGCTAAAAACATTTATACTTTCATGGTTACAATAAAGTGATGCAATTTCAATACATAGTTTCCAATTCTTATTTTCCTGAAAGTAGTTACAATCATTGAGAAGTTGAACAAACACTGATAAGCCACAAGGCTACAAAGGGGTCAGTTCCATTGCAAAGACACCAAATATAACAATTGTATAAGGGTCACCTTAGGGATTCACATTTACATGTAGTAAAGGCACAATTACAAAATAATAACAATACCTAGATACAATTACAGGAAAACTTGGATACAATTACAATAAAACACTTGGATACAATTATAAATGTAGAGACAGGGTCAATTCAGGAAACAGGGTAATGGGCAGTGCAAGGGAGAAAGGGAAAAAATGCTTTATTTGACAGAAAGGAAAGAAGGGACTTGAAGGAGGGGAATAATGGAAGAAACGAATTAAAAAGAGAGCAGACTAAAAGGCAAAATTGAGCAACAGTTTCATATACAGTATCTCTTGGGTCATCGTTATTTGGTCTTGGTTCTTAGCTTCTTTAGTTATTTTCTAATGCTGTGGGTTAAACCACAGAGCCTAGGACTTGCTGATCAGAAGGTCGGCGGTTCGAATCCCCGCGATGGGGTGAGCTCCCATTGCTCGGTCCCTGCTCCTGCCCACCTAGCAGTTCGAAAGCACATCAAAGTGCAAGTAGATAAATGGGTACTGCTCCAGCGGGAAGGTGAACGGCGTTTCCGTGCACTGCTCTGGTTCGCCAGAAGCGGCTTAGCCATGCTGGCCACATGACCTGGAAGCTGTACGCCGGCTCCCTCGGACAATAAAGCGAGATGAGCGCCGCAACCCCAGAGTCGGTCACGACTGGACCTAATGTTCAGGGGTCCCTTTACCTTTAACCAACTGAGCTATTCAGCATTGTCTTCTTTGACTGGCAGCAGCCTTCCAGGGTTTCAGGCAGGAGCTTTTGATCCCATGCATTGTCGGAGTTAGAATGCTCTGTTGCAATGCAGCAAGGCACTCTGAAGGAACAGGGCAACATAAGCAGGACTCCTTGGTTTTGTTTCTCAAAGGTCAGCTCCCAGCCAAGCCCAGTCCAAACCCCTGGTGGCAAGGGAAGGAGGATTTCGGCCTATAGACCTTCATTCACCACTTTGCTGTGGGAAGCATTTCCTGCTAGATTCTGATTTCTCCGTGCAGGAATCAAATGCAGAGTGCTTGCTTTTGTTTTGACAATGCCCTCCTGTCCTTGTGTTGAGAGGGTAGCATTGGGATTTGGGAGTGACCTGCTGAATCTGCAGAAACGGATCCCCTGCTGTGTTTTGGTGTTTCCCCTGTAAAGTGTTTGGGAATTGCTGCAGAGATGACGCTGCTGCAGGAGGGGGATGAGAACAGGAGACACACTGGGATTCCTTGTGAGATGTTTATGCGCACAGACTACAGCGCCCTCTGCAGGATTCTGTTGCTAGATGCGGTTTGAGTAGGGATTTAGACGGCAAAGGCTCACGAGAAAATTTGAAACAACGCAAAAGAAACAGCAAACAGGCATTAAATAAAGGCTCTTTGATAACACAAGGAGGACCTACAACAAAATGGAGTGTTCCTGTTCAGGGTCCCCACCTGCCAACCACACCCTTTTCTAATATTGCAGGGTTTCTCAAACTTGAGGCTCCAGCTGCTTTTGGACTACAATTCCCATCATCCCTGACCACTGGTCCTGCTAGCTAGGGATGATGGGAGCTGTAGTCCAAAAACACCTGGATGGAAAAGACCAGAAGTTTCATAGGGAGAGTGGCCCCATTTTTCATATTTCCCTCCACTGTATATAACTTGCCAAGTGAAGGTAAACACTTCGTGCAAGTTTCTAAAGCAAGTTTCTACTCCATGAACCATACCCCACCCTGCAGTGTGTGTGTGTGTGTGTGTGTGTGTGTGTGTGTGTGTATTAAGGTGCCACAAGACTGGCTTTTAAAAAATGCAAAGTATAAAACTATTATTATAATTTAAGCAGAAATGAGAGGAGTGAAAATAAGGTTAAACTGCTGCCAGCCAGTGTAGACAATATCAAACTAGATTGACCCAATGGTTTGACTCAGTACAAAGCAGCTTCCCAGGTCCCAATGTATTGGTATTTTCCAACAATTAACAAAAAAGACTCCGTATTTCAATAAATATGATGACTACCTGTGCAGATGACAACTGATTTATCAGATTTCCAATTCTTTCCTTTGATTAGTCTGACCGCAGCAATCACAGCTGCTGCAAGTTCCAAAACTTCCCCTTTCAGACCTCCCAGTAAAGCACATTGGGTGTTAAGATTACATTGCTACCAATAATTTCATTTATAATCTCCATCATTTATAATCCTTGTCATTTCTTTGTGATTTTTGTTGCAGCAGACTAATCCTGGTGTCCTTCTGGGATTGGCCTCTATAGATTGAGAAGCTCACATTTTCCAAACAGTGCTTCTTCATCGCCGTGGCATCATCAACTCTACCCAATAATACCAAGAACACTGTCATTAACCTGTTGAATAGCTTCTCACCTTCACCCCACTAGAATATCCACATGCTGAACACTGCATTGTCCCTGGATGTGGATAGGAAAAGAAGAGGAATGCCTAGCCTGATTTTAAATGGACATGAAATAAGCTCCGCAAAGCTTGCTTGACTAAAGTAATGCTCTTTCCCCCTGAGGGAATCTCCCAGCTGCTGTTAACTACTCAGAAACGAAAGGTTAATTGCATGATGTAAAAAAAATCGTTATCAGTTCTTTGGGAAGACTGTGGTCATTACACAGATGAGGAAGTCATTGACTTTCACTCCTGCTTTCATGCTTAGATCCCTCCACCACTTCAGAATGATTAATAGCTTGGAAGACTAAAAGAAAAAAAAGAACTTGTCGTTTTGTGCTTTTGAGAGATATTTGTACACCTACTCTTTCTCAGAAGAGAAGAAAAACTGTATGGAAATCTCAGCATAATCTGCACCAGGCATGGGAAACCTGTGGCTCTCCAGATGTTGATGGATTAAAACTGCCAGCATTCCAACCACTGCCTGATGGAAAATATAGACCAAACAACAGCTGGAAAGTCACAAATAGAGATAGAGTATTTAAATTTGATTCTGTTTGCATTTAAACCTGAATCAATCAAATTTGCACTTTCCAAAACAATATGAGAACCAAAACACAGGGCGGCATCCTTCGTGATTAGCAAATACCCAAATTTTGCTATACAGTTTGCCAACCAGCCACTGTCAACAAAAGGGAGAGAAGGGTGCGTAAAAATAATAATATTATTGAAAATAGCATGCATTACTGAATATCAGGAGAAATTGCTTGCAAAATGTGTACATTAGTAAAAAATGCATACAAAAATGTGATTATTAGAAGGAAATATACTAAAATACTGAAGTTTCAGGTCGATTAAAATTTTAAACCTAAAGGAGCTTGCAGGTGTAATCTCAGAGCCTGTCTATAATCTTTGAGAATTCTTGGAGGCGAGGTGAGGTTCCTGTGGACTGGCCTTGGGCAAATATTGCCCTTCAAAGGGGGGGGGGGGAGAAGACCCCAGGTAACTACAGATTGATGAGCTTGATATCAATATGAGGAAAGGTCCTAGAGCAGATATTTAAATATTGGGCCTAAGAGCATTTAGATAAGGGTGCTGTGATTACTAAGACCCAGCATGGGTTTATCAAAAGCAAGTCATGCCAGATGAACTTCATTTCTTTCTTTTTGATAGAGGTACAATCTTGGTGGATCAGGGTAATGCTGTGGATGTTTTGTATCTTGATTTCAGTAAGGCTTTTGACAAAGTACCCCATGAAATTCTTGCGGAGAAGCCGGTAAAATGTCAGCTGGACAAAGTTACCGTTGTAAAGCATGTTGTCTAAAGACCATCATTTCTCGATCAAGGTTCTCAGGCAGATTCAGTGAAGCAGCCAGAAGTAATTTTATTATTTGAAGGATGCAACCAAATAACAATAATAATAATAATACTCACCCTCCCACCCCCAAAAAGCCACACATTAAAAGCAGAATTTTTCGTTTTAAAATTGGTTGACACCTGCAAAACTACCAATCATTTAGATGCGGGAAACAAAATTATGTGCCTTGTAATTTAGTTATAATTAGAACAATGCATGCCTTGAAGCAGGCTCCATTGAAATCCACAGATTTTATTTCAATCTAGGCATCGGGGCGTAAGAGCAGGGATGGTGGCCCATATTTCATCAAGCTGCCAACGCGGACGGCGCAAAAAGAGAGTCAAAATGAGATTGTTCAAGGATTAATCACACCCATGAAAGATTCTGAGCTCCGGCATTTATTGAAATACATTCTCTGTTATTAAAAGAAATGTGAATGTCCTCCAAACGTAATTTTTTAATGAAAAATCAGAAATAAATATGAAGAGCTAGTAAAAACAAACAATGCTCTGTAAAATCTTCACACTGGCGTTCCTTCGGCTTGCTTCTTAGGATTTGCAAAGTACTCTCTTGGGAAGAAAAGAGGCCTCTCCAGGTCCAGCATGGGCTCTTTGGTGCTCAGGTTATCCTGCTGCTGCTGAGCGAGGATCATGGCCCGCAGCAGCGGTGGGTAGGGGACGTAGCGAACCGTTTCCTCCTCCACAGGCGTGAAAATCTTAAAGGCCTCCTCCTCATGCCTTGGTACCATGCGCCAGTCATGATACATGGCCTTGTCGATTTCTTTCACTTCGCTTTCTGTTTTGCCTAAGGAGAAGTTGACACGGTGAAGAGAGCTATGGACAAATCGCACACAGGAAATGCTCACATTCCTACATTTCACACACACAAACACACACACACCCCACAGGTGGCAGTGACCTGCAGGGCATCCTTCATCCACAAGTGACCCAGGTAAGTAGGGTCAAAATAGAGCTGCCACCTAGTAACAACTTCTGCAGCCATCAAGTAGCAAAATAATGCCCAAGAGTTTCAGTGCAGGCCTAGGGATGCCAACTCAAAAGTAAGTTCCACTGAGTTCAATGGGCCGTACTCCCAGGTAAGCCTACATTAGACTCCTTGCATATACAGTGGTACCTCAGGTTACATACGCCTCAGGTTACATACTCCACTAACCCAGAAATACTGCTTCAGGTTAAGAACTTTGCTTCAAGATAAGAACAGAAATTGGGCTCCGGCGGCACGGCAGCAGCAGGACGCCCCATTAGCTAAAGTGGTGCTTCAGGTTAAGAACAGTTTCAGGTTACGTACAGACCTCCGGAACGAATTAAGTACTTAACCCGAGGTACCACTGTTCAACAATTCTGCAGGAGAGCAGGCTAAATACAGAACGTGGAACTTGTCCCAGAATCTCAACGTCTATTTCTTTTCTTTTTTAAACAAAGGGAGGCTTCTAGACTTCATGAACACAAATATATATTTGACCCTGCACAGCCTAAGGCAGGGGTGGGGGAAAGGATCTGGATGGAGAGCTGGACTCCAAGTTCCCCAGCCTGTTTACTTTGATGGTGGGCAGAGCCACCCACTTGTCAGTCATCTGATGTCATCACAACGCCCAAGTCCTGCTGTTGGCAAGGATAAAATTCACCTGGGAGCTCTGATTAGGAGCCTTAGAAAGCAACTGTCAATTGTTCTCTTGCAACCATGTCTTTACCGGGGCCCAAACCTGAGATCAAAATTTACACCATGTATGGGAGGCTTCCTCAAACTCAGCCCTCCAGATGTTCTGAGACTACAGTTCCCATCATCTCTGACCACTGGTCCTGCTAGCTAGGGATCATGGGAGTTGTAGGCCAAAAACATCTGGAGGGCCGAGTCTGAGGAAGCCTGATATATGGGGTAGGGCACAGTGCTTGAGGAAACAAGTGTTGGAGGCCAAATCACAAACTAATTAGGCCCATGGCCAAAGATTCTTCACCACTGGCCTAAGGCAATGCCTGTTAATCTCAGAACCCATTGGGTTTCTTAAATAAGGCCCCATTTGCACTATGTATTTAAAGCATGGGTAGGCAAACTAAGGCCCAGGGGCCGGATCCAGCCCAATCGCCTTCTCAGTCTGGCCTGCGGACCGTCCGGGAATCAGCGTGTTTTTACATGAGTAGAATGTGTCCTTTTATTTAAAATGCATCTCTGGGTTATTTGTGGGGCCTGCCTGGTGTTTTTACATGAGTAGAGTGTGTCCTTTTATTTAAAATGCATCTGGATTATTTGTGGGGCACAGGAATTCGTTCATTTCCACCGGCCCCCTGCTGAAAAAGTTTGCTGACCCCTGATTTAAAGCAATATCATACAACTTTAAACAGTCACGGCTTTCGCCAAAGAAACCTGAGCATAGTTTGCTAAAGGTGCTGAGAGTTGTTCATAGACCCCTGATCCCCTCACAGAGTCACATTTCTCAGAGCTCCCTGGAAAAAGCAGCGTTCGAAACTCCCATTATTCTAGGTGCATTTTGCAACTGGGAATTTCATTAGCACGAGCAATTTCTGAGCTCTGGGTACAGTACTGCGCCTAAGATTTCAGATTAAAACTACCACTGCTGGCGCTAAGGGTGTGGGAGGAGAAATTCCTGCCTGCTCAACTTCCAAGAAATCAATGCAGCATCAGGTAAGCTGATCTGATTCTGCCTCTCAGCTGGCCTTACAGAAAGGCAGCATTTTATTCAGCGTAATATTCTTAAGAATATTAAGGGGGCGGGCAGGGGAAGCACGGCTTTGTTTTTTGCAGTCTTCAGATGAGGACTAGACCGTGTGAAAAATGAACATAAGATTTTAGCTGCAGTTCATTCATTTTCAGCTTTGTATACTTATATTTCAAAAAGTGCGCCTAGACATTCTGTTATGACACCCGTGACCTAGGTTTAAGGTGCCATTTAGCTCCTAGCTTTCAAATTTCAGTTTCTTAACACTGGGGAAAAGGGATTAATTGTTAAAGCCTCTCAAAGCAGCTCTTCTCTTACCTCGGAACGTCAAGTACCCCCAGGCTTTTCCATGATCCATATTCTGTAACAGAGAATTTGTATTTTTGTATTTTACACATGTAGGAATACATATGCTTACATGTACATGGCACCCTGGACTCCTCTGGGAAGAAGAGCATGATGTCCTTTTTTTATGAAGCATTTGTTCTGAATTGTTTGTGAGATGGTTTATACGACAATGAGCATTCACCCCAATTTGCTTCCAGGGTGTTTATACATCTTCCTACAAATAATTTCTTCAACCCCCACTCTTCAGTGCAGTTCCCCATCCCCTTTCTACTGCCAGAATTGGATACATTGAGCTAAGACAACAGAGCACTTCAAATGGCTTTAAATTCACGGAGAATAAGGCTATCAATGGCTACTAGCCATACTGACTATGCTCTACCTCCACTGCCAGAGGCATTGTACCTCTGAGTAGCAGTTTCTAGGAATCGCAGGTGGGCAGAGTGCTGCTGAGCTTATGCCCAGCTTGAAGTCTTCCCATAGCCATCTGCTCAGCCACTGTGCGAACAGGATACTGAATTGGATGGCCCATTGGCCCAACCCAGCAGGCTCATCATATTGTTAGAATTCCTGATCCATGATTGCAGTCATGGGATTTTTGTCTTTCACATGACGGTATATGTTTTGACTCCACAGATTGGGAAGTGACAGAGACAGGATGTTTGTGTTACTGTGTTCCAGGAAGTGGGACTATTGTCCTTTGTTCATTCTCATTGCTGTCTGATGCTAGAGAGAGAGGGAGCCATGTTGCAGTGCTCCGTGTGTGTTTATATGTAAATAAAGTAGATTAGCCAAAATGCTGAGTTGCTGAGGTCTGTCACGCATGATGCGCAAAGACTCTGCGGATCCCTAAGTGTGCCGGTGTCAGTTGGCATCGGTCGCTGTGATGTTCAGGCTGAAGAAAGCTTATGAAGCTCCCGAACGATCGAGCAGGAGGGAGAGAACATACCAGTCGGGCATGTGTCTCTGCCAGAGTTCTACTCGAGTGTAGGCTGAACTCCTGACACTTATGTTCTCATTAAAGGTAAAGGTACCCCTGCCCGTACGGGCCAGTCTTGTCAGACTCTAGGGTTGTGCGCTCATCTCACTCTAGAGGCCGGGAGCCGGCGCCGTCCGCAGACACTTCCGGGTCACATGGCCAGCGTGACATCGCTGCTCTGGCAAGCCAGCACCAGCGCAGCACACGGAAACGCCGTTTACCTTCCCGCTATAAAGCGGTACCTATTTATCTACTTGCACTTTTAAGGGTGCTTTCGAACTGCTAGGTGGGCAGGAGCTGGGACCGAAAGACGGGAGCTCACCCCGCCGCAGGGATTCGAACCGCCGACCATACGATCGGCAAGTCCTAGGCACTGTGGTTTTACCCACAGCGCCACCCACAGCATTCTCATTAATCCACTTTAATTGCTAAATTTGCACTCTCTGAAAAGGACAGTTATCATGGGGGACCCAATCCTTACACACTCCCTTCCAGTAAAAAAACAACACCCACCTCGGCTGTGTAATCCACCTTCACTTTGGTGATAACCCAATAACAAGGTTCGTCATACTGCCATAACCAGGATTTGCGTGTGACCATCCGCCCAACGCCAAAGAGGCGCAGCCGGCTGAGTAGGGTGAAGAGCCGGTTCTCGTTCCTCACATCCTCCCAGGCCAGGACGGGCAGCAGCTTGCCTGTGTAAGCACGAGTCATTTTCTCGTAGTCCACCGCATAGCGCTCAGAGTCTCGAGGCTTATTCTTCAGGGCCAAGTACTCACGGACCTTCTTGGCCATTGCTGCGATCGGGCGGTGGACTTTCTTGCGAGCCATGGCTGTCTGAGAAATGAAAACATAGGTGAGGTTAGTATGTTGGGACTAGAATCAGGGAGACACAGGCTGAAATCTCCACTCAGCTCACTAGATAATTATTTATTATATTTCCATCCCACCCTTACTTCCAGAGAAGCCCAGGGTGGCAAACAGCAAAGCAACAAAACAATACCATTAAAACAAAAGAATGCATTTTTTAAAAAGGACTTGAAAGCATCTAAAAGCATTTAGCACATCTAATACACACATTTAAAAAAAGGTCACATACTGTCACAGCCTATAATTTCAAGGTAGCCAGAAACTGTATCTTTCAGCCATCAACTGTGTGACTGAACAATAATATTTTAAAATTCCTTCTGAATGTTAATAATGAGGGATTTAAATGCCCACTCAGTCATGAAGCACACTGGGTGACCTTGGGTCAATTACTGTCTCTCAGCCTAAACTACTTCAAAGGGTTGTAGTGAGGGTAAAATAGGGAGGAAGAGAACCAGGCACATCACCTTGGTGGTATACAAATGTAGTAAGTGAATAAATAAAATCTTTCATACAAATAAGTAAGAATAATTAAAACACATCTTGGAAAACTACCTTAACATGCCTGTTAAAATAGAAAAGTCCTTGCAGTTCAGCAGGGTTCCACAGGATTGGAACCACAATACTGAATGCCTGGCTTCTGCATACCCTCCAACATTTCTCCAATGAAAATAGGGATGTCCCATTCCATAATTGTAATTTTACTATTTATACCGCACACAGCTTACTGGGTTGCCAAAGCCACTCTGGGCAGCTTTAAACATATATAAAAACGTAATAAAAATTAAACTTTTTTTTTTAATAAAAAAAAAACCTTCCCTTTACAGGATTGCCTATTTCTCCAGTGGAAATAGGGGCGTCTTAAGGAAAAGCGGGACATTCTGGGATCAGATCAGAAACCGGGACGGCTTCTCTAAATCAGGGACATCCCTGGAAAATAGGGACACTTGGAGGGTCTGCTTTTGGTGGCTGCATGCCATGCATCCGAACCATGCGCGGGTTGGGAGCAGAAGCAGTGTGGCATAGTGGTTAGAGTTTCAGACTAGGACCTAGGACACCATGATGCGAATGCCCTCCCAGCCATTAACTCAATAAAATAAATAAAAAGTGGAATTTCCACCCCACAGTCATTCCTCCCTTATCCAGCCACCTTACCTTTCACCACTTAACACCAACTGCTTGATCCAACCGCTCTAACATAGGCGATCCAACTCGCTAAATCATCCGGTGCGCAACATTTCCGCTCCTTTTTTTTGTGTGAACCTGTAATAACTTGCTAACTCTATGATTGAACGCAGAGGTTGGCCACAGACCGTAGACGCTCTAGGAAGCGCTGTCCGTTTTGTAAATCGTCCGGTAGGGAACATTTCCGCTTTCTTCTTCATTTAACTTTACAGGCGCTCTAAGCAAGGGCGGTCCTTCTCAATAAATCATCCGGTGGGCAACACTTCCACTCTATTCTCTGTGGACTCTTATTTTAAGTCCGTGTGGAGGCCAGTTCTTTCAGAGTACTTCCTTACATCTTCCGCCGCAACCCAGTCCTCTGGAAGTTGCCCCTTCCCGGCTTTCGTAGCATTTATTTATTTTTTAGGGGTGGAAGAAAAGCACCGAGCGGAACTCCCCCCGCGCAACAACCTCTTTCCGCAGGGATCATTTAAAAGGCTGCACCGCAGAGAAGCTTCTCTGTCTTAGTTTCTTTTGCTAATGAAGGAGGTGCAGGGATGTACAGTACCTCCCTTGGTGCTATTGTGGTTGGTAGGCTTGCAGGAGGGATGTTGTGGAGCTCTTGGGGTTTAACTCCCCAATTCTGAGTTTGGTGATCCCTTGGAGCTGCTCTCTATTATCGCGCAACCGACCAAATAATAGGTTTTGTCTTTGTTGAGGTTGAGTTACTGAGGGAAGGCAGACTGGGGGAGACGGTGGTTCAGTTATAGCGCATAACAAATATGTCCTTAGAAATGCGAAACAGCAGAGTCTTAAAAAAGAGAAAAAAGGTTTGACTGTTATACAATCTCAGTAGTTGGGTGGGGAAAGAGGGGAATTGGTCCGCTGCCTTGGAATTGGAGGAGGGCCAGGATTGCTTTCGTCTTCTAAGTATGGTCTTTCCGCTTCTAGAAAAGGTTGTGGGTTCTCCTAGTTAACTGTGGTACTGAAAATTGTACAGCCTCCTAGGAATCTGTGCTTTTCATGTGTTTGTGAGGTTTTTACGTTTATATGTGTACATATATTAAACTACTTGAAAAGTTGTTGACTTGGTAATGGCAGTTTCAGTCTGTTTCAGTTCATAAAACTGTGAGTTGCTTCTAATGATGATAAGGTGAGCTTTGAACCTGTGGCATTCTCGTGGAAATTTCTTGTCTGAGGGTCTTTAAAATATCTTTGGATATGTTGCAAATCTGCCTGGGACTCTGCAAATGCTTCTGCATTCCTGAACAAACTTTCTTAACAGGCAGTGTATGAGGATAAATTAAACCATGGAAGAAGGTAAAAAGCTTGACGTTCTTGACAGAACCAGCCAGCTTGTCAAAAGAGCCATTACTTGGGAGATCTCTGATTCTGAAGGAGGCAGTGACATCGAATTGCAGGACTCTGTGGCTGTTGTGAGTCACGTGGCAGCTGGTGTTTGGGACCACCTGGACAAAGAAAAGTTGGAAACATGCATAAGTCCAGGTGAACCCAAAGAGTTGCCTTTGCTTACATTAGTGCCCCAAGTACCATCTTGCTCCCCCAGTCCAGAGAAAACGAAGAAAAATCAGCCTCCTAAAGGACCAAGAGCAGTGCAGACCAAAGTGAAAGAAAGAAAGCTTGAAAGGAAACTGCAGAAAGAAGAGAAAATGAGGAAGAAAAAGCAGTGTGCACTAGAAAAAGAGAGACGAAAGGAAGCCGCAGCTGCCTTGAAATCTTTACGGCCTGATCAGTGTATGAAGTACATGACTGTATGTGTGGACCCAGGTAGGGCTTTTATTTTAGTGCTGTTTTTAAACAATTGGGAATTGATCCCTCTGCCTGATTTATTGCAAATCTACCAGTAGATCTTGACCTGGGAATAGGGGGCCTCTTGCCTGCAGCTTGTTGCTGGGTTTTGTTGTAGCTGCTTCTATCCATTTCAGCAGTGTCACTGGTGGTTCACAGAGCAAGTGGAATTTTTTACTCTCTTGGCACTAGGTATGTTGAGGTCTAGAGGAGAGTGCTTGGGACACTGACCCATAGTGCTGTATAATACAGTTGAGGTGTGAATCAGGCCATTTGTATGATCCTTGCCCATCAGGTCTTCTAGAGGATCCTGGTTCAGATGCTTTGCTGGAAGCTTTTGATTCTTTGGAGTGTAAATACCACATTGAACCTCAGGCAGTTCCACACAGCATAACCTGGAAGAGAGATCTCTCCAGTAGTATGTCTTGCATGGTGAGTATTCGAAACTCAGCTGTTAGCTAGGCAAGGCACAGATGAAATATGGACTGTCTTCTACTTAACTCATTTCCTGATTCTGCTCATCTGCTGTTAATAGTGCTTGTAGGCAGGCAGAAAAACAAGCAACTTAAAAATAGAACTTGATTTATATGTATGCCACACATAGAAGCAACTTTAAAATGGATCCTTCTGCAAAATAGGGCTAGTAGTCGAGCATGGCCAGTATCAAACCAGGTTTGTTAAGACTTTCAGGGAGCTAGATGGAGTAGTAGTAGTAGTTTTAAAGGATTTTTTAGAATACCATTTATTTCCTTCTGGAACGGTTCTGTAAGTCAGCAAGTGATGTGTGAAGCTAATAATCTCCTAGCAAATGGTTTTCAGTAACATGCCTTCAGTCTGGAGGTTCCATTTAGTAGTCATTATTAGTATATGACTGTATGTAGTAGTCATTAATAGGCCTCCATGAATTTGGCTAATCTCTTTTTAAAGCAGGAATGGGGAACTCGTAGTACTCCCAGTGTTGTTGGGCTCAAACTCCCATCAGCCCCAGCCAGCATGACAATGCTCAGGGATGATGAGAGTTGTATTCCAGCAACATCTGGAGGACCTCAGGCTCCCAATCCTTGTTTCAAGCCAGAGAACTTGCTTACATACTTATTGTGGCAGTCAATTCCACATAATTTAATTATGCTCTGTGGGGAAAGAGCCTTCCTTTTGTCTGTACTGACAAAATGGTTGACTTTGTTTCTGTAGAATGGCCCCCAGGAAAAGGCTGAAGAGGAAAGGGAGATCTTGCTCTTACTGGAGCCTTGGGATTTTCTCAGACGCCTCTACTCTTTAATGCAGGTATGGTAATAGCGTCTCCTGTATCTGCTGTTTAACTATGCCACCTAGATAGCACTGTCCTATGGCCACTCTCAGCAAACCCCATGGATTGCATTGAGGAATAGTTCTGGTGGTGACAGAAGTATGTTGTAGAGGTGTCCTAAGCTTATTTAAGGACAACTTCTGGGCCTGGAATTGGGGGGGGGGAGTTTTTTGAATTCAGATGTTTCATTTGAACAATTGACTACTACAGTCGAGTGTAACATTTACAGCCCTACTGTTATCAGTGGGACTTACTCCTTAGTAAATCTGCTTAGGATTGAAGGCTTAGGCATAGCTTCTTACTGGAATGTGTTTGTCTCTACACATCACTGTGCTGAGGATGCGATAAAAATCCATAATCCATTAAAGCGCAAGTGGGGAACCTCCTACTAAAAATGTGAGTATGCTTTAGAAGTTTTGTCTTATTACACAGGTGTTGAAGAGCTAAGTAAGTGAGAGGCAGCACTAAGAGAGTTAGGTTGCAGCAAGCAGTATTCAAGAGGAGATGAGTGCCGGAAGCATTAAGGCCAAAGGTGAGCAGGGAAGAACAGGGATTCTTGCATAGAACAAAGTTGTTAGACGAGTAGAGATCACAACTGGCTGCCAGTCAGCTACTGGACCATGTTCAAAGTCTTGTTAACATATAAAGAATTTGGGAGCAGGTTACCTGAAAAACCACCTGCCCATGTACAGAACTATGGCTGGCATAGGGATGTGGCATAACACAAGATTAGAGAGAGAGCACTCATTGTTGTCATCCCCCCAACCTTATGCCTCCCATGGGAAGACAGATAAATCCTCCTCCTCCTGATTGGGGACTGATTTTGGCCCCCGCACAATGATGCTGCCACTGTCTTAACAGCATTCCAAATTATCGGGGAAATATACAAAGTGGCTATGGTCTATCTGGGATGAACTCACCACATGCATACAGACCAGACACATGTGCATCTCACACACCATACAAGCCTCCTCTAACTCACATCCCTCTCTCTGCCCAAGCACATCTCTATCTTTCACACACAGAGAGACCACACACACCCCTTCACCTTCTCTCTCCTGCTCCTGCCCCCTCTCTTTTTTTCACACACACACACACACACACACACACACACACACACACACACCTTTCATCTCTCTGTCTCTGTCTCTGTCTCTCTGTCTCTGTCTCTCTCTCTCCAAAAGAGAAAACCCTCCCTTCAGAAAAGCACCTGAAAGTGCGTTCCCATTTCTCTTTGAATATGGTAGCAGAGCATCTTCTTTTGCATGTTCAGTCCTCAGCATCCCTTGAAAGGGCTGGCAGAGACCCCTGCCTGAAACCATGGAGAATTGTTGCCAGGCTAGATGGAGCAATGGCTTGACTCGGTATAAGGCAACTTCCAGGAAGGGCCATAGTTCATTTGCTCATCTGTACAGCACCTGCTTTGCATGTATGCAAAAGATTCCAGGTTCAATCATTGCTGTCTCAGTTGAGCTGGGAGAAGCCCCTGCCTGAAACTCTGGATAGCTGCTGCCAGTTGATGTAGATGGTATTGAAACGGGCAAAGGGCCTGACTCCGTATAAGGCAGTTTCCTTTGTTTCCCTAAGTGTGGGATTGTGACAGGGTACGAGAACATAAATGTATCATAGTGGTAATACATGAGTTAATCATTCAAAACCTTTTTGAACTAGCTGGAGCTTCCACACCATTTTCAAATACTACTCCATGTAGATCCAATTGCAATCACCCAGCCTGGGTGTCGCCATAGCTTTACTGACATGCATGCTATGTCACAACATGCTCACACCATTGGCACCCCCCAGTGAGATGCCCAGGGAGTGACAGGGACTGTAATGCTGTGCAACTCAAACTCTGCATATACTGTCTTCACACACCCACATCTAAATTAAGAAAATTAACACAAATTACTCTACACATGCTGGGGGGCTGGACTAGCTGAGCTCCTCCCTAGCTGGACCCAAAACTGTTTTTAAGTTCTTATGGAAAGACTTCTTGTGTGTGCATGTCTGTGACACTGTCTTCTTTTATTTCAGAGCATGAGCCCTGGCAAGCAGCAGAATGTGCCTGATCTCACCCGAATGTTGCCCTTTAGCAGCCCGAAAGATTACTGTGCAATCTCCTGCAGCGTGGCAGTCATTGGACTAGATGCCTACCAATGGTACATGTATTGGGAGGGCAGCTAAGTTAGGGGTGAGAAGTGACCTGTCTTCCATATGGCAAGTAGCTCAGTGGTAGAGCACACACTTGGATGCAGAAGGCCTCGTGTTTAATCCCCACCATCTCTATGTTGCTTCATGAGAATACTGGATTCCCTCCTGGTGGTAAAGGCAATGTACAGAAAGAAAGATAAAGAGAGTTTAGACATTACAAAGCAATTTTCATCTGCTTTATTGAGTGCACTTTACAGGGAAAATAGAGATGACTCATAAGAACATCAGAAGAGCCCTTCTGGTCTCACAATGGCCAGCCAGTTGCCTAAGGGAAGCCCAAATGCCATTCTCCTCAATTGTGATTCCCCAAAACTGGTACTCAGAGGCAGGCCCATGCAGAGGTGGGGAGGGTGGGTGGGGAGGAGCTGGGTACACTTGTCCCGGGCCTTGGAGGGTTTAATTAGTCAGGGGGGCCCCACCAGGGACTGGCTGCTTTTTTTGTTTGAAGACTCCCACCCTGGGCTTCAGACAAGCTCTTCACAGGCATACTGCCTCCCAACCGCAGAGGTAGAACATCAGGGTTAGCAGCTGTTGATAGCCATATCTCCCATGGAATTATCTAATCCTCTTTTAAAACCACCCAACTTTGTGGCCATTACTACCTCTTATGGGGGTGAGTTCTTTGGTTTAGCTATGCACTGTGTGAAAGTGCAAAGATAAGCCATTCCTTTCAGATACGTGCATTCCGTAAAATCGCATATGCAAGCCTTATACCATCATTTTCTTCACAGGGGCAATGCAGTGTGTGACAGCTGTCCTTTTAAGCTGCAAAGGCTGGGGAAACCCAACCAGATGGGTGGGGTATAAATAATAAATTATTATTACTATGCAAAAAAATTCTGCAGGCCGATCGCGTCTCCAAATTTCTTGGTGTGGGGTTCCTACGAGGTACCTGGTTTTTGAGAAATGAAGGTCATGTCAGCAACAGATCCAAGTTTATGTTGTAAAAGTACAGTCTGATGTCAAACATGTTTTGATAAGTGATATATAAATCACGTCACTCACAAGAGCTTGAAAACTAGCCATCTGTTGTTCTGATCTGAACTGCTTAGGTATAACCAGCATCGTGGACACCAGCAGGAAGCACTGAATCCTGGGCAGGAGGAGGCGCCAGGATTCCAGCCTGGCCCAGAACTGTTGATGACAGAGCATCAAATACAGGAGGTGAATACAATTACCAGGAGTGAGTCAGTTGTAAGGGGAGGAGCTTTTGGACAAGAGGGACAAGGCTATCAGTGGCCAGTTTTGCTTCCACTGTCAGAGGGAATGCACCTCTGAATTGCAATTGCTGGAGCCACCAGTGGGGAGTGCTCTTTACTCCGGTCCCTGCTTACAGGCTTCCCATATAGGCATCTGGCTGGCCATTGAGAGAACAGGATGCTGAACCACATGGGTGAGCAAGGTTTTCTTCGTGAGTTATTCTAGAAATAAAAAAGGATTGATTTATTCTTCAAGGAGAGTTCTGTCAATAGTTCAGCAGCCTTGATAGCTAAATGATGCATAGAGACAGTACTTTTGTGGCTACCATATGCGGAGAGCAAATGGAGGAATGCCATTGCCTTTATGTCCTGGTTTGCCAGCAAACAAAGGCCCCCTCTTAAGATGCAGACTTAACCATGTAGTGTAGCAGAGGGGTAAGACCTACCTTCCTTCCTTCCTTTTTCTAAGGAGTGGCAGAACTCTGGAAAGCAGCCTCATTGGCCCACTATTTTGTTTCCCCACAATCCTCCAGATGTTGCATTAGTCCAGAGCACTGTGGGGAAAACAAAATGGCAGCCACTATCAAAACATAGTGCCTCCCACTATTGGCTGCTATCCCCCATACCCCAATGCCCTGGACTGATGCAATGAAGGCAAAACAAAATGGTTGTTGCTTGCTGAAATTTGGCCACTAGAGCTGAATCCTATTGGAAGGCAGGGAGAACCAAAGACAGATGGGTATCAGCATTCTGTAAGTCCTCTTAAGAGTACTGGGGCCTTGCTTGCTGCCTGAAAGTGCTGAGTACTGACATCAGGCTTTCCTGATAACCTTGCTGTGCCCCAAGTGCGACACAAGAGTTAGGACATGCTTTAAGTCCATGGACTTCAGTGGCCTTAAGTGTAACTGTGTTTGATGTAGGTCTGTGTTCATAGATGATCCCTATTTATTTATTTATTCTGTCTGCCTGTTGCTCCTGCAGGCTCTGGTGGTGCTACAACTCTGGAGTAACACCGGTGTCTTATTCCTGGAGACATGGCAGGAGTTTGCCCAGCACATTTCTGCAATGACCAAAGCTATTGCGCAGCGCCCATATAAGTGAGTGCCTTTTGCCACAGATGATCTTTGCAGCCTCGTTTCTCTACAAAGCTCTTCCTCCGCCCCTTAGCTGCAAGTGTCTGAAGGGTGTTTTATAAAGCCGGAATGCCTCTAATGTGTGCACAAGTAGCGTGAATGAAAAGGAAGCCTCCCAATTCTTTATTGAAGAAAAACTGATAGAGACAGACACACATGTACCTGGTGCATGTTAATAATATGATACCATTTGCAAGAAGAAAATCCATACCTTGCCATCTCGACTCTTCTTCTGAGGCAACCAGGTGAAAAAAGGGACACTTTCTTTGCTACTGCTTCCTGATAAATTGGGGGGGGGGTTGATTTTTAATTCAAAAACAATAGGACTGTGTTTTAGAAGAGACATCTGTTGTTTCTCTCACGTGCAGAGGGACACCCCTCTGGAGATACTTGATTTTCTCCAGAAATACTGTTTATGCATATGAAGATGCTTGCATGTTTATCTAATTAGTTAGAACATTCTGAGGGCTTTATTCGGTTTTTAAACACATCTCGTCTCAAGCAGCCTGTCCCTGTGCCTCTTCCCACAGGAAACAGCAGGGAAACCAGCCTTTCTCCTTCTGCGCTGATGGTGGGTGGGCCAGTGGAGTGCATGTGCAGAAAGATGGGACGGGACTCGGACAGGCCTGGCTGAGGCAAATCCAGCAGCTTAACCGAACCAGCCCTGCCATGGCAGCAGCCATCACCAAAACATACCCTTCACCACAGCTGCTGCTAGAGGTCAGTTCACATCTTTGATTGCTTTGTCGTTGGCTAATCAGCAGGTCTCCAGAGAGGAGGGAGGCAAACCTGCCACGAAGCAGGTAGGCAGATCAAGCCCTCCTCAAAATATATCGAGGGCTGTTGCAGAGAAGAGGGCCAAGGCTTTCTCCCCTGCTGCTCCAGAGGAGAGAACTAAATTGAATGGGCCTCAACAGGACCCACAGCAAAATGTGGCTGGACTTTTTTATTCCCAATGGTCAGTTGGCATTTGGTGCCCTTTGGGTGTGCTGAGTCGTCACTGAGATATTTATTATGGGGGGACTCCCTTAGGGTCCCCTGGAGACAGAGTCATCTTCTGGTTTACTCCCATTTTCCTACATTGCAAAGCTTCAGTGGACACTCAAGCACCAAAAATTCAAGACTCAAGCCACGTGGTGCTTGAACCCACAACCCTGAGATTAAGAGTCTCATGCTCTACCGACTGAGCCTAAACGGCCTCAGCCCAGTATACCTGAAGGAGCCTCTCCACCCCCCATTGTTCAGCCTGAATACTGAGGTCCTCCAAGGGTCTTCTAGTGCAGTGTTTCCCAACCGGTGTTCCGCGGCACACTAGTGTGCCGCGAGACGTTGCCTGCTGTGCCGTGGGAGGGAGGCGGGCGAGTCGGGCGGCAAGAGGCTAGGAAGCAAATGGATTGCGAAGTCTGCCAGGTTCAGATTCGGGTCTCGGCTGTTTCCGGCAAGTGCAGATTCGGGTCTCGGCTGTTTTCGGCAAGTGCAGATTCCGGACTCGGCTGTTTACGCCTGCCCAACTCGCCGATCCCGCGCCGTACGTAAGAATTCTCGAGGAAAGGCGCAGGCGCATTCCTCCTCGGAGAGAGCGGCCGTTGGCGTCCAAGATGGCGGCTGTGCTGGCTGAGGGGAGCGCGGGCGGCGCCGAGTCCGAGGCAGCGGCTGTTCCGCCCATGGCGGGGCTGGAGATGGTCCAGCAGGGAGCCGAAGCCCGGGTCTACCGGGGCCTCTTCCTAGGCCGGCCAACTGTGGTGAAGCACCGCTTCCCGAAACGTTACCGGCACCCGCTGTTGGAGGAGCGCCTGAGCCGCAGGCGGACGGCGCAGGAGGCCCGCTCGCTGCTTCGCTGCCGGCGGGCAGGTGGGCGCGCCTCGAGACTGGACTGCGCGGGGCAGGGGCGCGGGCTGGGATTCCATCTCCTTTAAATTGCATGGCCGGCCCACCTCTTTGCAAGGAGTGCGGTTGGGAATTGCAAGCAAAGCAGCCACGCAGCTCGATTCCAGTCGTTAGTGACCAAAACTAATTCCCCCCCCCCCCGCTATAGGCAAGGAAGCTGAAGACTGGTTATGGAAGGCGGTGGGCTAAGCCACAGGTGTTCTGGTTTGCGAACATTTTTCAGAAGCCAAACGTGCTCCATTTTGCGTGCCATGCTTCTGTTTTGCGGTCTGTCTGCTTTTGCTGTTTATTTTGCATTTTTGTCTTTCTGACTTTTTTGTTTTGTTTTTGTGACTGATTGATTGACTGATTGTGTGACTGCAGTACATTGTTTATTGCTTTCATTTTATGGATCAATGGTCTTTATCGATAGTAAAATTCATGTTAAATTGCTGTTTTAGGGGTTGTTTTTAAATGTCTGGAATGGATTAATCCATTTTGCATTACTTTCAGCCAAACAGGCCCAGGTTGCGCACTGAATAAAGTATTTTATAATTTTTCATATTTCTGTTTACTTACTATTTCATAATAAAGTAATTATAAAATACTATCTTTGTGTTTATTTGATTCCTATTAAAGAGAGTTACTTTATATATAGTCAATATAGGCACAGAGTTAATTTTTTAAACGTTTTCTAATGGTGGTGTGCCTCAAGATTTTTTTCATGAAACAAGTGTGCCTTTGCCCAAAAAAGGTTGGGAAACACTGTTCTAGTGGTTCCCTCACTGCGAAAAACAAAGTTACAGGAAATCAAGCAGGCCTTCTCAGTAGTGGCACCCTCCCTGTGGAATGCCCTCCCTTCACATGTCAAGGAGATATGTAACTTTTAGAAGACATCTGAAGGCAGACCAGTATCAGGAAGTTTTTAATGTTTGATGTTTTATAAATGCTGTAAGCTGCCCAGTGACTGGGGAAACCCAGCCAGATGGGCAGGGTATAAATAATAAAATTATTACTATCCCAGCTCTTCCTGATAAGGATCTAACAACATAACCTCCTCTGTGCATGTTGAATCAATGGCTTTCCAATTACTGAATACCTATTTAATCCAAAAGGGCATTAATATAGGTTCAGAATGGCTCCACATTCTACACTGGAGGAAATCATCAGGGTTTTCTGTAGCCAATTTATTTTTCCCTTTTTTTAAGGCCTACAGAGAGTGTGGCACAGACAAAGAAAAACAGCTCCTCCTAAGTGACATTCTGGTCAGAAGTGAAGAAAATGAGAGGGAGCGGCGGATTGGCCCAGACTTGTCCCGTCGGGTCTACCTCTTCATGATATCTACCAATCCAGAGCTTGTTTTAGACCTAAGTGGTTAGGTGAGATAGTCAAAGGCCAGAATCTCATTTTTTCTAATCCCTGAACCTGTTTCTGTATTGCTGGTTATTGCAGAATGGACCTCTAGAAAGCAGTAAATGTCTTGCACACAAATACCATCAAGCCTCTTGAATTATTCCACCTGCCCTTGAAATTCTCATTCAGTGAAGATTGCCTTGCAGTAGCTTTTTCATATCTTCATACAAATCTGTAGTGTTAGCCCCACTTGGACTAAATTACCCAAAGGATCACCTGTCTCTACGTAGGCCTGCAAGAGGCCCTTATGGAGTTTCCCTTCTATCAGAGTTATACCAATTTACCAGTAAAAAGGCCACCATAGTGATTGTAAGAGCATGCCACAAATTAGGACCAAAGAGTCTCATTTCAGCACCTAGTAAAGCCCTTTTAGTTCCCCAAACTTTTTAAATCTAAAGCAGTTGATATCTCAACTGGCCCAAATGTTAAAGATACATAGGAATGGCAGTGTCAGAAGTCCCACCACCTTGTGATGTTAGAGGGGCAGTGGGGTATGCAAGTGTGTTGTGTTATGGCCCCCAGGTTGTACAATATGCTCAAGGACTCATGACACCATCATTGTTTATGTTGTCAAGACAGTCCTCTACTCACAACACTTGGGTGAGTGGATGTTTACACTCCTGTTATTTTGCTGCTTGTGTGACTGTTTAGTTTTGCAGTTTTAATTAATTCTTTATTTGAAATTGCAGTAATTTATGTAACCTGCCCTGAAACCATTTGGTGAAGGGCAAGAGATAGCTTTGTGACTGATATACAGTAAGGCAGCACATTTTCAACTCCCAACAATAGCAGCAAAAGAGCATTTAATTAGTAAATTAGGATGTAGCAACAAATAAAGCTTGGAAGAAGCCCAATAGAAGATCTTTATGTGTCAGGAATGTAAACTCAGTTCATATGGTGCTCAAAGGCACACTTTTCTTTAATTCTAACTATGTCCACACACACCACTCTAATTATTTTGCAAATGGCCTAGAAGGCAGGCAACGAGATTTTAGTTAACAAAATAAGATTCCAGTTCTAGAAAACAAAGTAGCTTATATAATACTGGCATTACCAAATCACCCCTCAGCTAAACCATCTTTTATCTCCGTGAGATTCTTATCGTGCTTTCAGTGTTTTCAACATGCTTTTTAATCTCATGTTTGATTTGGTACAATCATAAGCCACCCTGTGAATTTATTTAAAAGGTGGGACACAAGCATCCCAAAATAAAAACATGATGTGCCCAGTTCAAAGGCAACGGCAAACTATGATTTGTGAGATAGATGGAGATCTGAGTGCAGGTCATGCACTTGATGCCAAACAATGGTTTGGTATTGGCTGAGCCATGTCATGAAGGAACCTTGAGAAGCAAAGTCCCACAGCTGTACCATAAACAAAACCATTAGTCACTTACGCCCGTGTTCAACCCTTGTAAGTCAATGCAGCTTGTATTTTAATTATGTTTTCATATAGTTCAGTACAGGAGAAGCAGCGGGTAGACATGCAAAGCAATTAAAGCTGCAAGGCTCACATGAGTTCACTTACAGAGACAGTCTAGCAAGTTAATTTTGCGCCAGAGCTGTCTGTGCCAAAGCACTGAAAAACACAAGAAATTAAGAGCCCTTTTTATATTGATAAAGATTGCTGTTTCTGTGTCCCAGAGGCATTACTTGCAAGTGGCCAACCAACACAGTACATTGGCTTCTCTGTTTTCATCATAAATTGAGTCTCATTCATTTGGTTGTTGGGAGGAAAGTGTTCCTTGTCCTGTTTGGCTACTGAATGTCTCAAGGTTCAGAGACTCTTCCAGAAAACTTGGCAACTGTAGTTGATGAGCAGGAGGCAAACGGGGGTAATCAAACTACAGGAATGGCTTGCCTGCTGAAGGTAGGTCTCTTCCAAAGCAGGAAACACTTGTTGAGTTCCAAGATTTCACTAGAAAGTGGGGAAATCTTTGCCCTCATTGAGGAGCCAGCTTCAACCACCCTTATAAAGACACTGAGGAAAAACCCTCATCCTTCAAGACATGGCCTTCAAAGAAAGTTTTATGTCCTCCTGCATCTCTTTCGCTGGCATTCCTCAGCATCTGAACTGCAAGAGCTATCTGAATCATTTCCTGAGGTGGGGGAGGGTGGCTGAATCGAGCCACAGTTCATGCTCAGCACCCAGCCCAGTTTGTTGTGCAGAATTTGCTTCAGTCCAGGGGGAAGGGGCAGCACATCGAGTGTATCCACGTAGTCAGGAAGCAGCTGGCGGAGACGGAAACAGCAAAGGTACTGCAAGGAGGTGTGGCTGCCGCAAGAGCGGATTACTTTCATGCTGCTCTTAGCAGCCGTTGAGCATACCATGGGGTAGAATCTCTTGTTCTGAAGTTTGGTGGCAGCTACTCCTGGATGGAAATACCAAAAAGGAGGCCTGAGATCAACACATGGTCACAGAGATAGGGGTGGGAAAGGCACACAACAAGCTATAATCTCTCAGCCATTGGCTAGGGCACTGTAAGGATTTGGGGAGCAGGGCACTCCATCCCTTGATAGTCTTACAGAGAAAACTTCAATTTTGGACTTAAGTGTCAATGAAAACAGCAGCAACGTGTGATTCTATGCTCTTTGTCTCTGTGCACGATCAAGGAAACTGTCCAGGCACCAGTCATGCTGCTACATGATGCCATACACTTGTCGTAGTTACGCTGATGTGAAGGCCAAAGCTGGATTACATGCATATACCATACTTCTGGTTTATGCTACATTTTACTAGTTCCAAACAGCCTTTCAATAGTCAAAAGCTAGGGATGCTCAGGCAGCACTAACAACTAGGCCCTCTGACATCTTTACACATGAGAAAATTGTAATTTGAGTGTAGCAGGGACACACAGCATGCTGATATTTTGAGAGGCAGTCCCTTAAAGTTTAAACTTTAGATCTCACACTTCAGTGATCCAACCCCATATCTAGCAATAGCTCCCTCCTGCCTAGTTGCATCTTCTTCCAACATTCCCCCTCATCTCAGAACTGGACTACACCTTTCAGTTGTGCCAAAGTTTGGTCAGCTTAAACCTGTTCTGGATCTCTTGCTCTTACCTATGCATTTCCTGTTTTTGAAAAAGGTCAGAGTCCCATGCCAGGTGTCCAGGTGCACTCCAATAATGGAGCCTTGGCCAAACCTCGTCGAGAAGTTGGTTCTATCTCCCTTGTGGTGGAGGAGTCCTAGAGGGCAATTGGCAGCCACAGTTACACAATATACACTGTAGACTCATCCTGTGTATTCCAACTTTTTCTTAAGACAGTTATTTCCTAGTTCTTTATCAGTTATACATGGGCAAACCTCCGACTGCTTGTCAGAAAGTCAGTGAATCTGTCTCTCTTGATCCCTTAATTCAAGTCCTCACAAAAACTTGTTGCCAAAACAGCTGGGTGCAAGAACAAAATGGACTCTGCTCCTTCAAACAAATCAGATCTTCCCTCTCCCCCTTGATGGCCCTCATGCCCAGAACTGCCTCCCAGAACACCTGTGTGATGTCACCATTAATTCCACAAAGCCTTTGGCATCGTCCGCTACTGTAACCAAAGGCAAGTACACACCCAAGTTCACCCTCACCCGTTTCCTGCCTTTGTTGACACCTCAGTGCCATGTTTGAGATTGCAATCTTCTCAGTACAGGGACCTGCTCTGATGTACTTTTAAAATATTGATACTAACTTTTTAACCACCAGCTGAATACTTGGCTTTTCACTAGCCAAATTTTGGCCCAAGCCATTTTGTTTATAGAAGCGAGTAATTTCACACATGCAGCAGTCCAGAACACGTAAGTAGTAAACCAACACTTGCAAGTTTGAAGATGCCATTTTAATTACACATGCATGTGCAAGTTCTCTGATAACCTATAAAATAGGGATGCACAGAATAAGATGTTAATATAAAGTTTGAACTTCCGGAAGCTAGCCTGTGTTTTGGCCCTCTAGCCTGTACTCCAAGGCCAATTTATACAGGGTGTGAGCCGCAAGAAAAAGCCCTTACCTGTGCAGGCTTCCCATGCACATGCAGCCCATTAAAATGCACCTGCCACATGCACTAGTCCATTCCTATATGCTGGCAGGCCAGCTGCACACCTGCCTGCTGGCATTAGGCTTCAAATACAGAAATACCCCCCCCCTTCAGAAGCCAGTCATTTCACTTTTTGTTTACAGTTACAAATATATGTCCAACTCCTTTAGTCAATCATGGTCTCTCACTTCCTTTGTAAGGGAGAATTTATACATTCGTGTTCTCAACATTTCAGTCAGGGCTAACCTGTAGCACTGCAGATTATGTTAAGACTAGAACTCACATCACCCGTGAACATTGACCATCCTGTCTGGGGCTGGCGATGATGGGAGTTTGGAGTCCAAACACATCTGAAGGAGCACAACTTTAAGCAATGATCTCTGATGGCTCAATCACTCTGTGAGCCACTGAGCCACCTCCAGTTACTGGCAAACCTTCACATTTCTCCTTCATCCCATGAATTATTTTCTATGCTGCCCTTACCTGTATATGAGAGGCCCCAGCTATCTTCATCTTTGCCCAGCAAGCTACAAAACGTGTGTCGGTACTTGTCCAGATTCACATCTGATGTCCCAATTCCCACCATCTAAATGTGGACAGAAAATTAGGAATGAGGAGAAGAGGGCAGGCACACAGACAAAAGGACACTACATAAATCATGGAGCCACCTAAGCAATCACCTGAGCATTTGCTCATGTAAGCTTTTTATTTAGCCTTCAGAGCCACTGATTCTGCTCCACTACTACAGAGAACATTTCAGGTTCAACAATCACTTTGGGTGGGGGAAATCATTCATACTCCCTACTTTTTAAACCAACATGCATTCCCTCTAGTTTAGATAAAGAATACATTGATAGAACTGAACTATTTACTGTTCAGTTGTCTAGCACTATGCATTTTTAATATCATTTAATAAAATTCAACCTCGTTAATGCATCTGGACAGTTCACAAATACATATTACATAATTACCCTCTCCTGCATTCTGGTTTCTGGCCCATGGTTTGAGCTCTGCTATACTCAACTCTTGCAGACCGACCTCAGCAGTACATCAGTC